TCCACACCTATGAGGGCCTCCCATGATCCACACCCAGCGAGGGCTTCCCTTGATCCACACCCAGCGAAGGCCTCCCATGATCCACACCTGTGAGGACCTCCCCTGATCCACACCCAGTGAGGGCCTCCCATGATCCACACCTGTGAGGGTCTCCCATGATCCACACCCAGCGAGGGCCTCTCATGATCCACACCCAGCGAGGGCCTCCCTTGATCCACACCCAGCAACGGCCTCCCCATGACCCACACCCATGTGGACCTCCCATGGTCCACACCCAGTAAGGACCTCCCATGATCCACACCCACGTGGGCCTCCCATGGTCCTGAGCTGTGCCACACCACTGAGCTAATTTGCTATCACCACTCTTAATCCCGGCACCACACACCCAGGGTCCAGCCAGCTCTCAAAGGCCCCACCTGTGGCTGCACAAGATCTTGGGGGACATCTGGATGCGAGCCATCATCAGGCAGAGCCAAAATGTAGAAAAAATGGTATGGTTTTTGTTCCCCATAAGCTTTTTTATGGTACTGAAATTTGTATTTCATTTTATATGTCAAAACGTACTTCTGATTTTTTTTTTTCCCCTTCAAATATATAAAGTCATTACTGGCTCCAGACCAGATAAAAATAGTCAGGGGGTTGCTTTTGGCCCCCTACGCCTTATTTCACTACCCAAAGTCTGACTTAAGAGATTTGGCAGTATCTCTTTTAACTGCTTTTTAAGATGTTTAAAGATCATATGGTTTAAGGGCCGGCCAGATAGCTCAGCGGATTGAAGCACCTGCTTAGGCAGACGCAGGGGCCAGGGCCTGCGTGTGAGACAGCAATTGAGGCTTGGTGTGGTGGCGCTCGCCTGTAATCCCAGAGTTTGGGAGGCTGAAAAACAGGAAGAATCACAAGTCCGATCTGCCTAATGAGACCCTGGAGAACCTGTACTAAATATTATCTGTCTATCTGTATCTTTTAAAGGGAAAGTGAAACACCACTTTCACTGTTTCACAGATATCTTATGAGGGAAATAGTGCAAGTGTATCTGTTTAATCCCATGATGAATATGCACTGGCTTATATTTTCAGAAAACGTTATTTCTGGGCTCCACTGAGCCGCAATAGCTTTTATTTTAAGCCTTCATCATAATGCAATATTTATGAGGACATTTTAAGTAGCAACTAAGAATATTATTGGTGATAAGCATTCGGGTACAAGCTCTGGAAAACTGCAGAGAGAGTGGCTTACCTCATCAGAAGCTTACTGTGTGGTAAGGAAAGGTAGCAGAGGCTGCATGAGCAGAGCCTGGGTGGTAGCCGTGCGCATCCTCAAGGGCAGAGCCTGGGTGGCAGCCGCGCACGTCCTTGAGGCTGCAGGCTCCTGCTTTCTGCCCGGCCGCCCTGCACACAGCCTTGCTTTCTCATTTGTTCACTGGTGTCCGGGCCTGCAGGCCGTGTCTGCAGTGCTGTGAGGAGGAACAGAAAAGGGCGCATTTGGAGGGGGCTGTACTTGCCTCCAGCTCCTGACCCAGAGTCCCCATGAAGGCACTTGCCCAACATCTCCCTGGTCAGAGCTGTATCCTGAGTCCTCATTAGCCTCCAAGCCCTTTGGTAAATGCTTTTCTGTAGCTGAGTGCATCGCTTTTCCAAACAAAGCAGGTCTCTGCTAGTAAATGGGAAGCTAGTGACTTGGTAAGCAGCGGTCCTCCTCCACATGGCCTGAATACAGACCTCCCTGGTGAGTTGACAGCGCCTCCTCCGTCATCAGTTGCGAGGTGTGTTTCATTCAGAACATTTGACACGTAGGAAGAACCGAAGTCCTTGTGTAAAGGAGCTAGTGTGTGTTGTTCTGGGATCCTGGAATGGTGCCTCGCTCAGGCAGTGTCCTGGCTGCTTCCTGTCACCCCCAGGAAAGCCTTGCCATTCCCCCATCACCCTGGAGCCCATAGTTCCAGGCTACACCCCCTTCTGCTGACATTAAGAATGGCCGGCTGGCGTGACTCATCTTCCTTCCTGGTGCTGATGTCATGCATTCCCAGGAAGACAGCCTTCTCTGATTTACATTTCTCCCGTCAGGTGTACGAGTGCTTTGCTGTGGGGCTGGCTAATTTCTATGTTGTTAGCTTCTCCTGCCTTTCGCGTCTCTTCTTTTCAGTTAACTAGCCTTTCCTGTAAACATAAGGGGTCGTAGAGATGGGTGACCCAGGAAAGCCTAGGGTTGGCCTTCTAAGATGGGACTCTTCCTTGCGTTGTACACTTTACAGTACCCTGCCGGTCATCCTCACTGTTAGTGGGAACAATCCTTCGCTTTTTGAGCATGGTTCATGTTAAGATGTATTTGGATTTTAATATTACATGATTAATTTTACTTTTTTTTTGTATGTTAGGGAAGAGTTTACAGGGTTTTCAGGGTCTTACTACTAGATCAAACTCCTGTTTACAGCCTCCCAAGGACTGTGATTACAGGTGTGTGTCACCATACCCAGGCTCAATTGCAGTCTCAGCATGCCCCAGGAGTGGGGCTGGCACAGCAGGCCCGGGGATCAAACCCCCAGCCCTTGAACCTACTTGTAGGCACTTTAATCTGCTGAGCTGTTTGGCCGGCTCTCACATGCTGTTGTAAGATAATGGTCACAAGAACACAGGGAGGCATCTATGGCGGTGGTGGTAAACCTCTGGCGTAAGTGCCACCTTAGGCTGTTATCGCTCAAAGCTCTAAAAGTTTCACCATCCCTGGGCTATGGTATTTCATTATAGCAGCCGGGGGACCCTTATTATTTCTAGTGATAAAAGCTCCAAGTATACTAAATATCCAAAAATAGGGCAGTAACTAATGGGATATGGACTTGATGGGATTTTCAGGCAGGTATGGAAGTTCATACTTTTGGGAAGTGTTTCTCACCTGAGGATAGTGCTAAGATTAGGTTTCCCAGTATGGAAAAGGGATTTTTTTTTAAGGGTGAGTTTCCAGTTAGTCACAGTTTGCAGCAGAGGTGGCTGTTACTTGCACATTATTTGGAGAACCAAAGCGTGAGTATGTGTCAGTTTCATGTTTACCCTCCAATGAAACTGAAAATAAGGTAGATGTGGAGCTCTCATGAGCGCAGCGAGTTTGGGCTCACTCTTCTCGATTTGGACAGAAGTGGCCTGGGTAGTAGGACCACAGGCCATTTTTCCATGATTTCCAGAGCAGGTAACTTCATCCATTGTGAAAGAAGCTGGAGTAGATACTGTGGTTCGCTGAGGAGTAGCCCATGTGTGCACAGAGCAGTGGAGAGCAGAGGTATTCTAAGTGGTAAACAGCAGGGCTGTGCTCAAGGGTGCGCACACTGGCTGCAGGATCCTCCTCACCCGAGCAGGTGGCCTCAGTTCCTGGTCTCTAAAACAGGAGCAATACGACCTTCCTTCAGGCTTTAATGGGAAATTAAGAAGAATGGAAGGTACCTTCACAATCCCATTTCTGAAAGCGGGAGATGAGTTGGGGGAGGGGTAGCTTTCTCAGAAATGAGAGCTAACTCACTTGATGAGGCAAGTACCAGCCAAGAGTGTAAACATACTGTAACGGCCTTGTCTTACAGTGTCACTGGGTCTAAATATGCCTGTCTGGTTTTGCCAGCTTTCGGTCCCCACACGAACCACAGCCACACCATCTTGTTATCCTTGAGCTTCCACTGAGGGATCAGAAGTCTTTTGCCTGAGAAGTATGAACCAGAGCTGCATCTGCAGAGCCACTTGTCACTAGGCTTTTGGGGGCCTTTTGGGGGGAGGAGGAGGCAGTAAGTGTGTGATGCTGGTTTCCAGGCATTTTCTTTTCTGTGTTGAGAGGTCTTTTCTGTTGACAGATCCAAATGGTTCTTTTCCCTGGCTTTATAAAATTTATTTTACCCCTTGAGGCTGTTCCTTTATAGTCTCCAGAATCACTTAGAGCCATGCTGAAGACATTGCATGTTGCCATCCTCCTTAGTTAGCCTGTGCTCTAGGAAGGAAAGTGGGTAACATCTGGGGCAACTGCGGATGCTCCTCAGGAGCACTTCTGACCCCTGCGGCTGCAGGAGGGACTGCGGGGATCAGGGAGTGGGCAGGGCGAGCGTTCTCAGGAGGTGGTGCCTTACTTGGCTCCTAGGTGGCAGTGGGGTGCCTAGGAGTGGAGGGTGTCGCCATGATGGCGGCTGCCGCAGTGGAGGGGAAAGAGGCTGCTGAAGGAGTAAATGCTGCTGCTCCAGGAAGTGGTGAAGCGCTAGCATCTCAGGTGGGCCGTTCTTGGGGTGAAGGTGAGAGGGACAGTGTTACGGCCCATGGAGGACTGAGTCCACCCCCTGTGGCCTGTGCCCCAGGCATCCACATTGAGCCTCTGTGTTCTAGGAAACCCGTGCAAACATCACCGTAATCCTCTGCAGGATGCCAGTGCGTGGTGGTACTGGGCGCCTGTGGAAAGCACCCTTGTGTCTTCAACTGTGAGAAATTGAATCTAAGTCTGTATGGAAAAGCATCCTGATGGTTTCACATGAGCATTTCTCCCTGTTTGCCTTCTCTCTATAGATAAAGAAGAAGCAGCAGGATGTGGTTAGATTTCTGGAGGCCAACAAGATAGAGTTTGAGGAGGTGGACATCACGATGTCGGAGGAGCAGAGGCAGTGGATGTACAGAAGCATCCCCCCGGAGAAGAGGCCTGCTCAGGGGAACCCGCTGCCACCGCAGATATTCAACGGCGACCGGTACTGTGGGGTGAGTGGCAGAGGGCCCTCCGTTCTTACCTCGTGGCACTCGTCATGCAGGGTCACCACGTGCACTGGGCTTCCTCTGATGGACGCTGCTCTCTTCCTGGCCTGTTCAGCTCCATGGGTCAAACAGGCTGAGGGCACCCGAATCCCAGCCGCAGACAGCACAGGACTGAGTGCTGCTTGGGTTGTGGATGCGAACGCACTGTAGCTCTGTCCCTCACTGCTTCAGAAGAGGGGACAGGAGGGGAAGCTGCAGAAGAGGTTGTTGTGTTCTGAATTTTCAAGCATGTCTTCTGATGATTCTGTTTTATTCCTGAATCTGTACATCTGTGGTTTAAGTACATACTGATAGTGGGGTATAAGCTAGAGGTCCTTTCTTTATGATTAGGAACCAGGGGATCACTAAGAACATCTGAAATCTATTCTATACCCTCCTGCTTTATGTAGTACATGAGAAAAGAAAGTCAATTTCATCTAATGCGTGCCCATCTTTTTACTCCTTAGGTCAACAAATTTTGAAAAACTTCCTTCTGATGAGTAGCTTAGGGTTTGCCTCTCTCTCTCTCTCTCTCTCTCTCTCTCTCTCTCTCTCTCTCTCTGTCTGTCTGTCTGTCTTTTTCTCCCCTCCCTCCCTGCATCCCTCCCTCCCTCCCAGCTTCTCTCCCTTCTTTTGTAGTTCTGAGAACATATGTTGGCCTTTATTTGGGGCTACAGTTCCTTTACCTATGGCCCAGAGAAGAAGGTGCTGTAGTGTTGAGGGACTGGAGGTGAAGCGGATGCTTGCCTCAAGGATGGCGGAGAGAACGCCACCCCTGAGGAGGAGCCGTTGGGGCATAGCTCTGAGCAGCAGAGCTGGAACTCTGTGTTGCTCAGGCAGCACTGCCTCGCCCCTCCCCAAGTGCCAGGTAACTGGCCCTCTTCAATTTCTTTAAGTATTTTAGATACTTGATGTAATTAGAGCTGTATCGTATGTGTGCTTTATGACTTTCCATGTAGCATAGCATTCTCATGGTTTATTGACGATAGAGCACGTGATAAGATTTCTTTTTTAAGGCTGCGTGACATTTTGTCTGCACATTCTGTATGTTGGAGGAATTCATGCAGCCCTCCATCAGCAGATGTCCGGGTTGCTTCCACCTCCCGGCAGTTGTGAGTGGGGCGCTGTGCACACGGTTGTGCAGATGCCTCTGTACCACACTGCTCTCGGCTCCTCCTCACAGCCCTCAAGGTGGGCCTTCTGTGCCATGCGGTTGCTCCAGGTCTGCTTGGGGGAGCAGCATCGAGCTGTCCCCCGTGGCGCACAGAGCACTTTGTAATCTACCACAGCGCACCAGAGGTCCACTTCTCCAACCCGTGCCCGACTGGTCATGTTCCGCTTGGTTACGTCGCCATAGTGGGAATCCTAAGGGCTAACAGGAGCGGATGATAGCTCATTGTAGTTGTGATTTGCATATCTTAGGATTAGTGATGTTGAACATATTTTTCATATACATGATAGTCATTTGTGTATAATCATTGGAAGAATATCAAGTCCTTTTTGATATTTAAAATCAAGTTATTTGATTTTTATAGTATGTGAGTTTGGCTGAGAAGCCAGTGTTTAGAGGCAGACATGAGGGCAGATGGGCAGAGCTGGGGAGGTGTGGGGAGTGTGCTTAGCTTGAGTCCCATAAATTCCCATCTTAGAGTGATGAAAGGACAGCTTACCCAAGGGCCAAGAGGCAGATTCTTTGTAGAAAGATAAGCTCTGGATCTTTTCTTGAGGCATTTATAAGATTGTTAGCGTTTTAAATTCTTGACTTGCTTTTTTACACTTTAAAAATGGTATTTATAGTGCCAGGTGTGGTGGTACATCTCCGTAATCCCAGGTCTTGGAAAGCTGAGGCAGGAGGATTGCTGCGACTTCAAGGCCAGCCTGGGCCTTGAGACTCTGTCTCAGGGGGAAAAAGTGGTATTTACAGAATATTAAATTTGTGTCTAAGTTTTAGATTAGTTACTAACCAAATCCAAAGTCAATAAACTGGTGATTGGTTTTGTTTAAATAGTGATTTGCCACTAACTACGCCTGCTTTTCACATATGTCCTTGGTTATTTAAAACCTAGAATTAGGCCAGAGGGTAGTTAGACTTTTGTCAGGAGCCCGACAGCGAGTCTCCAGGTCACCCCTTGCCCTGTCCTATGTCCCTGTGAAAAGAGAAAGGATGTGCCTACCTCTGCTCACCATTGGCTAAAGCTCAGGACTCCTGCCTTCACACCTGCACATGTGCAGCTAAGCTGTGTTCGATCACAGAGCTCAGGGCAGACGTGGGAGAAGGCTGTCCAGGCATCACACTGTAAGTGTACTGGGGTTTTTGTTACTGAAGTTTAAAGTCCTGTGCATATAATTATGTTTTGGGCTGCTGCGATCGCTCAGCAGACTATGCACCTGCTTAGGCAAGCCCAGAGACCTGGGTTCAATCCTCGCACCTCATGCCACGCTGGCCCAGGTCCCCAGGTGTGCTGAGCTGGCCCCCGAGACCGAGCATGGTGCTTCACACCTCTAATTCCAGTGCTGGGGAGGCTTAGACAGGATCACAAGTGCAAGCTGCATAATGAACCCTGTACCACATACATAAAAAAATGACAACCTTTAATTATGTTTTATGAACCTGTGATTTATATGCAAGGTTTTATTATTTTAAAAGGATCATTTACTCTTCTGAATTCTTTTTTCATATTCCCAAACACAAGAACATAAAATGATCTTCAACCAAGGTCTCACAGAAAGTTGTTGGAAAAGGGATACTTAAAGTTCTTGTTCTGAATTAATTGGTTATCTAATGTTATTGTTGTTTCTTATTTCCCCAATAGTGCTGTAATGAATATGCAAGTGGGGATCCTTGGAAAGATGGAAAAGGGAATGCAAAGTCTGTTTTTACCTTCCTTTACAAACTTTTATTCTGTACACTTTCTCTTAACTTTAAGTTTTTAAGGTCACACTGTTGATCATACTGTTTCTATGCCGTTTTGTGTCCCACTCTATTTTCTAGCAAAAGTAGCTGTCCTGTCCTTGTAAAGTTAGATGTTAGGGGCTGCCTTCGTCGGGGTGGCTGTCGCCATCCGTTGAGTCATTCTTCTGCGGGCCGCTCAGCTGTTTCCAGCCCCTCGGAGTCAGAGTTCACCCGAACAGGCAGTTCTGAAGCCAGCCATCAGCTGGCTGCTAGTTTAGGAAGGAGACTCGCAGTTGGCCATTACATCCCTCATTCCTCATTCTTAGGTCTTTTGTCAAGCTACAAAAGTATTTTGGAGTTATTATTGATGGCCCCAAAGTCTGCTTTCAAAGTGAAGAAAAAGCCACCTGTGCCTTCTGTGTGCACTGTCTGTCAGGCCTGGGGGTTCCCAGAACCACAGGATGGATTCTGTCCATCTGAAACATCCACTTGACTCGACACAGTGCAAAATGTGCTTTTTTGATGAGCAAAATGTACACCGATTTAAGAATACATGGTGCATTTTCATGGTCCTTTTAAGATTCAGAGAATTTTGTATTTGCGGGGACTGCTTGAAAATGCATAGTGCAGGCCTCCAGCTGAGGAGTCCGGCAACCAGGAACTATTGCAGGCTTTGGGGACCATGTAGTTCTCTGCTGCGTATGCTTTTTGGTTTCGAGTTTTTTCTTTTTTCTTTTGCTTTCTAATCCTTTAAAACACTAAGCACTGTGCGCAGTTCCCAGTCCCTGCCGCAGTTCCTGCTCTGCTGGCCCATTCACGTGTCCCTGCCTCTTGGAGCACCTCTGGGCCACACAGAAATAGCTGTTGGCCCAGCCTCCTGGAGTAGATCTCACGGAGGACCAGAAACTGAGGCCCATGCTGTAGCCTTCCGTAGTAATCGTATGTTAATAGAGCTCTGCGGAGAATCAGTGTGAAGAGGAAAGCTGAAGTGTGGTTTTTCCCTGTTCATGCTCTGAGGCATGGCTATTGTTTATGTAGGACTCCTGGCTGCATCCTATCGCTTGTGGAGTCTGTGAAATCCCTGTCTCTCCCTTCCTGTCAGAGCAGATACCTGATCTGTGGCAGAGGGAGCAGAGATTTCTTTGGCTCAATTTCAGTCCAAGGTAGGCCAGCCCCGAGGAAGAAACTGCAGCTGCTCCTGGGTGGTAACCAGGAGACGGAACAGTGAGCCTTCCTTCCAGGGCTCTCAGGCAGCTGGCCACCCTTCCCACACAGGTCCAGGGACCCACTCCTGATCAGTCCCCACCTTCTAGGACAGCAGGTCAGCTGGTCAGCCCCATGACCGAAGTGCTTCTCCGAGCCCCACCTTTGAACTCAGGTGGCTTCGGGGGATGCCCAGATTTATCAACTCAGCATACCCCTACACCCCTTTCCCTCATCTCGCAGACCCAGCTCACTTCCAGTACCTAATAACCCTGCCCTGTTTCGGCCCCAAAACTCAAGTCAGCTGTGCTCGATTTACCATCTGAAGTTAGCAGTGTCTGGCTCTTCCACCCGCCTCCAGCTCCAGCTGTGCGGTTTTGCTGTTTTGTGATGACATTTATCTCCGAGAGCCTTCCTTATGACTGTCCTCAGCCGGCTGTAGGCTCCTTGTCGCACTGTCGGGCCTGCTTGTCTTGCTGTCTGGCACCCATTCTAGGAGCACAGAACATGCTTCGGGAGCATTGGCTGTGAGCAGGTGCACGTGATGCGGAGCTGTCGGCCGGGGAGGGCTCCAGGCTGTTCTCTGGGGTCTTCGTGTTAGGCTGCTGTGCGCCTGCTGCCTACAGTCTGGAATGTGTGAGGCCACGCCCTGCTGTGATCCCATTTTATCAGATTTGTCAAAAGTAAGTTTACTAAACCTTGTGGACTTAAATTAGAATCTGGGAAACAGCTTCTATTAGAAACTTACCGTACCTGTACAGTTTTGTTCAGAAATCTTTTATCCGAATTTGAAGTCCTTCAGTCTAAAACATGAGCTATCTAATCAGTTACCAGGAGAATCTCCTCCTTCAGATGTCTTATTGTAAATATT